TAGCAGACATGGCAGAACGATGCAGATGTGAATTAGAGTGTATTTATTGAGAAGCAGTAACAGTGTCACGATATGTTGTACTCAAAACGGAAGGAAGTCAAGTTACCAGTGTTCAAAGTAATACAGTTAAACAACAAGTAAAATTGTTTAATGCTTAATGTACAGAATATGAAAATACATGCGAAAACTATGAAAAATTATTTACAAAATAGGTTTTAAGGTTCTATCTCTACATAGCTCCCCCCAGAGTGTCCGGAGGTAACACTGTTTACAATATGAAGAACAGAAATTGAGAAATATTGTATATAAATGTACATAAAATAGTGTTTACTGTAATAACGGAAAAAAAATTGGAAATAGGAATAAATGGCACGTTAATAATATACGCTATGCTACGCAAATGAAACTGAAGAACAAACATTACAAAGTTTCGGTTTGCTAATAATAATAAAATGTGCAAAACTGTTAATAGAGTCATAAAATAAAAAATAAAAAAATGGATGAATTTAATAAATAGTTAGTTAGCATTCACTCGTTTATTACTATGACAATTCTTTCTTATTAAAAAAATTGGCAAAACCAGTGATAACAAATAAATGTAGTTATTAAATGTACATGTAGGGAAAATAAATATCTTTTATTAGAAGATTGCGTAACTTCACAAAGTAATGCATACAACTGATTGATTGTGTTAGTCCATAAAATGTACATAACGTTTGGGTTTTTTAATAAGTCTCCCAGATCGTGTTAAACAAGAGGGTGTAGTGCTGAGTTTTTCCTCTTCCTCTTGTTTCTTAGCAATTGATGGGAGTGATTGTTTGTTCGCCGTATTGTCATCAGTGGCTTGAGGGGGTTCGTAGAAAGCTGGTTTTATTCGGTCTATGGAAATTGTTTCACTGTTCCCGTTTTTGTTGATAATGAAATATTTGCAAGTGCGTTTTATTACTTTATACGGACCTTCATATGGTGGTGTCAGTGGCTTTTTCACCGCGTCTACTCGAACAAAAACAAATTTGCACGTTTCTAAATGTTTGTCGAGATGGACTGGATTGTTGTATTCTCGCGGTGGTATTGCTCTAATGTTCTGCATCACTTGTAATAGGCAACTTGCGAAATGAGTAGCATCTTCTTGCGTTGTAGGTTCACAGTTGACTAGTTGGCCCGGTAACGTTAGAGTTGTACCATAGACTAACTCAGCGGGTGTACAACCTATGTCTTCCTTCACCGTGGCACGAATCCCAAGGAGAACAAGCGGCAAGGCATCACTCCATTTTGTTGAATCAGTTTGAGCCATGAGTGAGCTTTTTAATTGCCGGTGAAATCTTTCAACCATGCCGTTTGCTGCTGGGTGGTAAGCTGTGGTTCTGATGTGTTTTACGCCCAGAAGTCTTGTGAATTCCTGAAACAGGATAGACTGGAACTGGGGACCACGATCAGTTGTGATGGTTGTCGGTACACCGTAGTGCGATATCCATCGGTCTAGAAAAACGGATGCTACAGTCTCAGCTGATGTGTCTTCGATGGGGCATGCAATGGCCCATCGAGTGAATCTGTCTATTGCCGTGAGGATGTGAGTAAAAGAATTTGACGGAGGTAGAGGTCCTACTAAATCTAAATGGATATGCTGAAAACGTCTATCAGGAATAGGAAATTCTCCGATTGGACTAATAGTATGCTTTTGGATCTTACTACGTTGACACTGAAGGCAACCACGTGTCCATCGTTTAATATCTGAATTGATTTTCGGCCAAACAAAACGTTCAGTTATCAGCTTTGTAGTAGCTCGGACGCCCGGATGTGATAAACCATGCAAGTGTTGGAATAACTTTTGGCGACATGAAAGTGGAACAAAGGGACGATTGTTACCTGTTGATGTGTCACAGATGATGGATGCGTCGGAGAATGGGATGGGTACAGGTTGGAGATTCAGGTGAGACTTTTCTTTGCAGGTTTTTAGCTCTGCATCGTCTGCTTGAAGTTTTGCGATTATTTCTAGGTTGACGTCATGGTTGGATGCCACTACATTGATGCCTTTTCTCGACAACGCATCTGCTACAATGTTGGAGTGACCTTTGATAAACTGAATGTCTGTGGTGAATTGTGAGATGCAATCAAGCTGTCTTGCTTCGCGTGGTGAATGTCTGTCATACGACATACTAAAGGAGTAGCACAGGGGTTTGTGATCCGTCATGATGGTAAAATCCCGGCCCTGCAGCAAAAAATTGAAGTGTTTAACGGCTAAATACATGGCTAAGAGTTCACGACCGAATGTACTATAACGCTCTTGTACAGGTGATAACCTTTTAGAGAAGAAAGCAATGGGTGTAATTTTATTGTTTACTTGTTGTTGTAATACTGCCCCTACGGCTTTTTGTGATGCGTCCGTACAGAGGATCAGATGAGTTTTGGGGTCAGTATTTAGATGTTGTAGCATGGTGGCGTCAGCAATCAAAGATTTGGCTTTTTCAAATGCCGTTTTGGCATCGGAAGGTAACTTGAATGGTTGATTCTTTTCCTTTTTGCTACCTGATTTATCGTTTTTTAGTAAGTCAGTTAACGGTTGCAGAACGTCGGCACAGTTAGGTAAAAATCGACGGTAAAAATTGAATGCACCCAGGAAGCGACGTAATGACTTAACCGAAGTGGATTCAGGATAGTTGATGACGGCTTCAACTCTCTTTGGTAGAGGTTTAATACCTTGTGCATCAATATAGTGTCCTAAGAATTCTAAGGCAGACGTACCGAATATGCATTTAGTAGGGTTGATAACTACGCCATATTTCTTGAATCGTTCAAAGAGAATCTGCAGATGATGGACATGCTCTTCAAGTGAGGAGCTGGCAATTAGGACGTCATCGATGTAAACAAATACGAAATCTAAACCTCGCGTGACTTCGTCCATAAATCGTTGGAATGTTTGCGCAGCATTCTTAAGCCCAAATGGCATCCTCAAGAATTCAAACAACCCAAAAGGTGTGATTACAGCTGTTTTTTCAATATCCTCAGGTGCCACTGGGATCTGATGATAAGCTCTAACTAAGTCTAGTTTTGAAAAGATCAGTTTACCGTGCAGGTTTAGTGAAAAATCATGTAGATGAGGAATAGGGTATCTGTCTGGAACTGTCTGATTATTCAGACGCCTATAATCTCCACAAGTGCGCCAATCTTGATCTTTTTTGGGAACCATGTGCAGTGGCGGGGCCCAAGGGCTATTAGACTGTCGGATTATCCCTAGTTGCATCATATGTTCAAATTCTCTTTTAGCGGACTGCAACTTATTGGGTGGTAGTCTCCTCGCCTTGGCGCAGATAGGTGGACCAGTTGTAGTGATAGTATGTTGAACATGGTGTGTGGAGTTTTCAGTTTGATAATCGGCTTTTGTTATACATTCATACTTCGATAGAAGATCGGCAAAAGTTTGACTATCAGGTCTAAGCAATCGGACACCATAAGTTTCATAATTGCAGGTGATTGTTCCGTTGACCTGTAGACTTGTATACACGTCGATAAGTTTCTTTTTTCTCATGTCGACAAGGAGATTGTAGTTACTAAGAAAATTGGCTCCAAGGATGGGTTGTTTAACTTCAGCGACGATGAAAACCCATGTAAAACGTCTACGGAGACCGATGTCTAAGATGAGTGATTGCTCGCCATACGTTTTAATAATAGAATTGTTTGCTGCCACTAATGATAATTTAGCTTGTTGGGAGTGCCGTCGTCGGGATAGATGAAGTGGGAGTATGCTTATTTCGGCTCCAGTATCGATTAGAAAATCCGAGCCCGAAATACGATCCCTGACATGAAATAGACGGCTTGAGTTGTGGCCAGAGTCAGGCGCCGCCATTACTGCCTGGCCGGACCGTTTCCCTGGTTATCAGTGCTGGGTAAGGGGAATGCACACGGGCGTGTACAACGCCGTGCTTTTGTGCCGAATTTAGTATGATACCAACAAATTTCGGATGGTCGTTTAGGTGAACGAGATCGTGGTCTAGAACGTGATCTCTGTCTAAAAGGGGGTCCTATTTGTCTGGCCTGAACCGTTGCTACAGTGGTTTGAATGGACTCAAGTTGATTCGTCAATTGAGATAATTGTCTTTGAATAGAGTTTAAGTAACTGACATCAGCTGCTCCATACAACTGCATCGTATTTATATAGTGATTATCATGACAGACTTCCATTACCTTATCCGCCATATCACTCAGCTTAGGTGGAGAATACATTAGGTTAAAAATGAGCTAGAGTATCGTGTAATGAGCGAATGAACAATATAACAATGGTATAAATGCGAGATAATAAAATACTGGGTTCACCAAATAATTGTGGTGGACCAAAATGTATGATAACCAAAAATTAGCAACAAAAATATTATGTCTATAGTTTATGTAACAATTAACAGTTAATAAGTTAATTACACACACAAATAACAAAATAAGGGACGTTACTTAAGTCTTCAGGCTATTGCGTGTTCGGCTGGGTTTGGTCCAAATAATCCACAATTATAAAAAATTAGTAATCCCAACATGGACGATATAGATCCAGTAGGTTTACCAAACGTAGAATTCAATAAGAATGTCGCAGTTGTCTATAAACGTAGATGGTATGCAATTAATATTTCATTCAACATATTAGCAGACATGGCAGAACGATGCAGATGTGAATTAGAGTGTATTTATTGAGAAGCAGTAACAGTGTCACGATATGTTGTACTCAAAACGGAAGGAAGTCAAGTTACCAGTGTTCAAAGTAATACAGTTAAACAACAAGTAAAATTGTTTAATGCTTAATGTACAGAATATGAAAATACATGCGAAAACTATGAAAAATTATTTACAAAATAGGTTTTAAGGTTCTATCTCCACAAGTTTATGTCAGTCCATCACAAAAGTATATAACATTGGAACAACGAGCTTCACTCAAATTGAACGTCACGTGTTTACGTTTACGCGCTGCTACTATTTGCTCATTAAAGTCTCTATATAAATTACTAAGAATACTTTTGACATCCGTAATCTAAAGAGACTTAAATTTCGCAAAGTAATTTATCGTTGTGTTTTGTTTTTTTCTAATCACAGTAATCGTGTATTTATTGTAACTACTCTAAGTTCTGGCCACAGAATACAGAATGTTTTTCCTGTGTAGTTAGTAGCTTAGACGCCTTGTAAAACGCGTTTCTCATTGGTACATTTGTTTTTTGACTTTTGTATACAAACTGGACAGTCGACTGTGCTTGTACGTTTGTTTTGTAATGGAAGTAAAGGCGAAAATAGGAGGCAGATATTGCTTCGTATATTTCCCCAGGATGCCTAGAGTAAATCTCTACCTGATTATTTTGTGTGATTTTAAAGACAGTCTAGCCAGAAGTCTGACAGTCACTCAATATTTATAATCAAACTCATTTTCCACTGATTTCAGTAGCATGAGACTTATCCGTATTGTGCTTTTGTGCTGTAGAGTAGAGACTTAATATAAGGAAACTGCAATTTAACAGCATGATTGACCGGGAAGTAGGAACAAAGTTGGGCATGGTACTTACCTCTTTCAGACTTCAGTACTTAGTCACATGCACCTTTTTACTAATGGGTGTGTGAACATTCCCGTTAACAAATAATTGACGACTAAAACAAGCACACTACAGTCCAGTACATCAGATGATATGCAGTTCTAAAGGCTGGAGCACATTCATTCTCAGTCTGCCAGTTAGTTATTGGATCAAATGTTAAGACCATAACTTATGGGCGAGGCCAAAGTGACCTTGAGCATTTTCATCTACTAACTAGGACTAAATAATGGTTATAAAGCAGTTAGAATCATGATTTACAGTTTATAGTTAGGGTTAGGAACTAGGTCTAGGGTTTTCATCGCGATCTGACATCAGCTAACATGCCAAAACGCTATTTGGCGAAGTGAATTGATGGATTTTTTGCCAAAGTCCATGACCTGTTATCCTAAATTTTGTTGGCTCTTCCGTAAATTATAGTTTCACCTCAACCACACAATGAACCACAAAAGAGTAACACAGCATGGGTCGGGGAAAACTTCCAGCAAAACAAGGACAACCATAACCCTTAAGTTCACAAAAACGTTAATCATTTGAATGTATTTTTTCCTGGCCAGTACAATGCTCCGATGACAGGCATTTATTTAAACATAACTATTGTACCATTATAACCCGCTCATAAGTATAGGTTACATTAACTTTTTCTGTTGGTCACGTTAGCGCTGTAGTGTTTTAAAAGAGCTGACACCGCTAAGACCACTTTTGGCCCTTCCAATGAAAGCAGTTTGAGTCCACTAAAACCATGGGATAAGAGAAATGAGAGTAAACTAGCTGAAATGTAAACAGCAGATTACATCAATAACTACTCTTGCTCATGTGTGCAGATCAGTTGTTAACACATTACTCGTGTACCAATGACAAACGACAAAATTATATACAATGGATACTCGTTCATATTAACACGTCAACCTGGAAATGTCTCAATAAAATGGCGAATAAGCCTTTGTGGTTTTCCGGAAATATCCACCCTTCGTTGTGGACATCACCGTTACCAATAGTGGCTATGGAAACGGTTAAATGTTTTCTAGTTCCTCGACCGCTCCCTATCGATACGATACTCGACAACGACAGTGACTCATCTTGGGTTGCGTTGGTTTATGCGGTCAAAATCTGTCAAATACTGTGCTCTATACGCATCAAAACAATCAGTCAGCTACGGTTTATGGCCGGTATGGAACAAAAATAAAACGAAATTTCCTTTTTTCGAAATATCGCTTTCTTACTTATGTTTCTGGTGTAAGGTCCTGAAATGCAATCACCTATTTCACATAGCTTGATGTTATCAGATGCAATGTAAAATAAAAGCTAGTCGCGAACACTTATCTGAAAAAGGGCTTTATTGGCTGTTTCTGGCTCAAATGTATTTCCTATTAAACATTGTTCCTGTTCAATTATTATTTGTGCGGCACGTTTTTAGTGCCCTAATGTACCGGAATTTATATGCTTTCAATAATTTTACGCATATTGCAGTCATGTATAAATGTTTACTTAGGTATGAGTTTCCAGAAAGTTGGGGGATTTGAAATTTTTGGCTGGTCGGTTGCCGGAAACGAAACCTGCGTTGCTGTACGTAAGAATCGCCAAGTATTCGGTTTCGATATTGGATTTTCACCTAGACCACTCGTTTTTGCCGATCATATATTTATTAGGTAAGTGAATAGTGAAGTTAACAGTTTCTAGTCATGGACATGCTGATCATATTGGAGCTATTGCTCAGCATATGAAAAAGAGGGCCTTGAATGATCTAGGAAGAGCGACATATTTCATGCCAAAGCATCTGGTCCCACATGTGAAGGCTATTTGCGATGCTTTCACTGCTATGTCTGAAAAAGCTAACTCAGACTTTGTCGGTACCTTTGTTCCTGTTGAACCGGGAAATAAATATGAGGTTTGTTGTGCTTACATCATATACATGTGATTCTTCACATTTTCAGTTATCGGATGATTGGCATGTAGTTGTTTTTTCAACTGATCACTCGATTACTAGTGTGGGTTATTTACTTTATTCTCGAGATCCTAGTGGCAAGGAAGTTCCGGAAATAGCTTATTTAGGTATGTTGAAATATTACTGAACGACTGTTTCGATATGAATGTCACTTTGTTGGCAAACTAGTTATTGTTCAATTATATCCACAATACTGCTGATAACAGTGTGGGTGACTTTTTTATGTGAAGCTTAAACTGAATATTAAACATTCATTTTGGCAAACCACACTACACATCAGAATAGGCGGTGATCCAGTTACCTCAGCTAGTTTAGATTCTCAGACTTTTGCTCAACCGTTTTTCTTTTTAAACCCTACGGTTAACATTACCGACTGATTATTTCCACTACCCGTGATAAATGCGCTGTAAATAATCATATTGGGATAACTGTTACCCGTTTTCAACAGTGGTATTTCAACTTCGGTAAACAACAGTGTATATATATGTAATTATACACTTGTGCGTTCTGTCTTATATTTCTCATCTCTCTGGTTTGCTGATTTTTTCCGTTACTGTATTTAATTCTCATTAAACGTGTTAATATGTTTTTTTTTGAAGTAAAGGGATTTAAGTTTTCTATTCACACGTCGCTCTTAAGTTATTTCAGTCATTCGGAATTTTTATGTTTAAAGGTATATATATATATATATATATATATATATATATATATATATACTTCGGGATTATTCAAAGTCTATTTCGTTAAACATTGGTCCATTATCATATCTGTTATAAAAGACCCTGGGAGTAGTAGACTGAGACTAATATATTGTAACAACTACTTTATTTCAACCACCGGTTCTGATTGAATTAGCGAGAAAATACATTGTGGTGAACTCCGCTTTGTCGGTCATCATTCATAGACATATTGAACCTGGCTCAAATGTGCTCTAGACCATGTTGCCACACTTCATACCAATACATCAAGAGGTCAACAGGATAAAAAGCAAAGAAGATATAATAACAATAATCACTTATTTTGCGTACAAATGTTATCTTTGTTTTTATAAGAAACTGCATATCACACCCGTAGATGAGAATCCTAAGTTTTTATGGAACGCTTAGAAAGCTTTTTTTAAAATCAACGTTCGATATGTAGGTGGTTGGAATGTAAGTAATATCTACTAACAGACAGCAACTCATACCACTATTGTTCCGATGTCTCACTTCTCCATCAATACGAACAGTGCTCCAGATTTTATAGGAATCTACTGGAATTTTATTTAATTCTAAAAATGCGTGAACAAGATCACAAGATGTTGTCGCGTTGTCAGATTCATAAGGGATAAATCGCACTTTTTCTAGATAAAATTAAATATATGACCACACAATTTACGGCATTCGTACGTCGTAATTATTGAAGCTTATTGTCTAACCTGATTCGGCGTTCTGAAATGAAGTCCTCTAACATGCCACTTGGGAAGAGTTTTCAAAAGGTCCTAAATTATATTTCGTAAGCTGGCATCTTTAATACTGGTTGTATGTAGAAAAGATGTTTTAGTTAAATAAGAATAGTTGATAACAAGGACGAGAAACTTCAGGAGATAAATAAGAACCTTGCTGACATAATTGAGTGCTGATGGAGGTTTGTATGGGATTAACGATTAGTGGTTGCTCATATCTCTAAACGGTATTTATTCTGGAGGGGACTAAAGAGAAACAATATTAAAACCAATGTCCTTACCGACGGGGTTATCACTGTTGAGCACAAGAGACGATTGTTTAATACCGGTCAACTTTTAGTGAGTTATTATTTTTGTAGTAAAATATAGTATCTAAATTCATTGATGTTAAGTAACAGTAAGTTTTAAAGTGATGGAATTTTAACCACTTATCGAATAATAAATGATAGTTGCGTCTGCATCATTGTACAGTCCACTTTCCAAGGAAATCATCACCGAAATATTTTGAAATCTTAAGGTATTTTGAACAATCGAAATGGTGACAGTAATAAAACATGCATCTAATTTACGTTATCAACCCACCAAATATTTTTTTTACCTATTTGTTGTTAACCAAGTACTTCTTTAACAATTAATCTTAACCGCAATATTAGATGTCTATTTATCGTGTATTATTAGGTAAATGTTACCTTGTTTTGTTTACTGTCATAGGTGATTCTAGATTTACTGTTATTCGCGAAGCGAATTCACTCTGCCCAGATCTTTTATCGTCTCGCCTATTGATAATGGAGGCAACATTTTTAGATAATCCAGATCGTAAGATTGGAAGCGCTCGAAGTCATGGTCATACGCATTTGGATGAAATTCGTCAGAATGCTTCTTTGCTAAAGGTAGTTCTTTTTTGAAATAAGTGGTTAGCTTTTATTCCGAACTATTCAGCTGTTAGTTTGATCCTTGTTTCTTTTTACAAATATTCTTATGTCAGAGTTGTAAATTGAATTGCTACTGTGGACTTTTGAAGAGTTTATGTTTTTAGGAATAACATTTTTGTTGTAACATTTAACTGCAAATAAGCAGTTTTCATAGCTGCATAAAGATTATAAACACTTCAGACTTAAACCATATTAATATTATTAGTACTGGTGATATCATGTTCTCCGAGGTAGATAGTAGTGATGACCTCGATGCCGTTAGAAGTGTGAGAGCGGTTGTCTATTTACTGTCGCTCATGCAGTTGGATGATGATTTCTGTCGAGGTGTTTGAGAAGGAAGCGTGTAGGAATGGTTTGTACGACTTGGGATTGTAATCACAGTGCCTGAGAGACTAATGCTTGAGGCCAGTCACATACAGCCGTTTTGTGAGTGGCTTTAGGTTTGTTAGCTCCGTACTTCTAAAAACTTACAGCTGATAGCTGAAATCCATGAGGTCAAGTGTGGTGTGCTACTTTTATTGTTGACTTATTCTAACCTCTTCCTTCAGTTATGGGGAGGTAGCATTGCCATAGATGCCAGTTATATGAAATTGATAACTTACTGCCATCACACTCCAGCAGAGTCAGGAGTACAATTTCACTGTCGGACCATGAGTTTGGTGATTTTAGTCTTACCACTATCTTACCAACCTGCATTTCATGGCAAAACCCAGAAGAGCCATTGTTCCAGTCAATATACACCTTGGTCGGGTCATCACGAAATGGAAACCCAGCCACCACATCAAGGTAGAGAAGTCCTCATAGTCTTTGTGAACGTATTATTATTATTTTATTTGAATACATAAACATTGGTACAAGGAGGCACCAAATATATATGCGCCACACAATGACAATGAGGCCAGTAGTAATTATCATTGATTTGTGTGAGGACTGGAATACTACCCGGGTGCCCAAACCGAAGCAGGCAATTTTCTTAGGAGGACACTCCACGAGCCTTTGACCCAGAGGTCTAATCCACAAGGCAGTCGAGCAACGTTGGGAGATTCAGTCACATGGTAGTCGGTGACCAACAATAGGTTCACATATTTGTTCCTTCAGGATCCTGGAGCCCATGTGCACCATTGGTTTGGAATGAGGGTTTTCCAACTTCCCTAGGTGGACCCTCCATATCCAGCCAATCTGTTAAAACGCCGGATTATTGATGTAATAAAACAATTGGGTTGGAAAACATTGAGGCTATATGGGCATCCGTGACCCCGCGCGCGGTAATCAAACCCAAGATCTATAGTTACATGCGTGAACGTTTAAGCTCTAGACCACTGGGTCGGAATCCAAAAATATAATTTGTACTGATTGATTCAATAATGCCATACATAGCGATGTGTTTTTAAATGTGATAAAGGAATTTCTATTTCACTAACCCATGGTTGACCGCTTATTTAGTCACATCAGTTTAGTGGTTAATTCATGCGGTTTTTAACAAGTAGGTTGAAGGTGCAACATCCTCTCTACTCATGCTTCGATTTATTAGACCGAGTAATATTAACAGCTCTAACGCACACCAGCAATGCAGGCCAAATTTCAGTTCCATTAGTATTTTGATGTTGGATGGTTAGAAGTTGGTCTCTAGAACTATCCATGAGTTTAAATTTCGTTTTAGTTGAGGCTCATTGACAAAGCGTACTAACATACTCATCGAGAGAAGTGGTACTCCATGTTAGGTTCAAACCCATGTCGCCCAGTTACATAGTGTAGATCGTTACCACTGAGCTATTCGGGTCTCAATTAACTTGTAGGATTGAGATATTTACATTAATTAATTACTGAGTAGTAACTAATTTCATTCATATTATTATTCTTATTATCGACTTGCTAATTAGTTGTATTTTATCAAAACATCATTTCCACTTTTCCCCACTTTTTTATATTTTCAGTCTGTTGATTATATCTACCTGATACACTTCTCAGATCGATACACCCATAATGATATCATCCGTCTTTGTCACAAAGATATGCCTGATTGGTTAGTCAGTCGTATTATACCATCTGTAACTGCTAAACATTGTCTTGAAAGTAGATGATACTTACAATGACATTTTTTTTCTTCTATGGATCTTTGTAAAGTTTCTTCAGTTTGTATAGTTTACGGATAAAATAAAAAGAAAAGTTTTCATTGTTTTTAAATTTTCTTTAATTCTGATTGTTGGGCTAAATGTGTAAATAAATTCGTCATTATAAAGGAATAAAAATTATGTTTAATAAATTGTTGTAAGTAGTATTTTCGTCATAATTATTAGTTCAGAAGGGGTTTTGTGGATATTTCAGTATTTTCATAGTTGAAATCATGAATCAATTGAAGCTAGACCACCATGGAAAACCTGGAAGAACTGGACGGCCGTTTTGTTCCATTATGGGACTCGTTAGCAGTGCGCATCCACGACCCCACACCCGGGAGATTTGAACCCAGAACCTACCAGTCTCGCGCCATAGCACTTAACCGATAGACCACTGAGCTGGCATCCAACGGTGTTAATGTCTAACTTCAACCAATCCACGATGTTTGAGCAACCGTTCACCCATTGTCTTCAGTGAGTTAATATCTCTACAACAGACCGTTAGGTCCTGGGTTCGAATCTCGCAAGTGTGGGATCGTGGATGCGCACTGCTGAGGAGTCCCATAATAGAACGAGATGGCCTTCCAGTACTTCCAGGTTTTCGATGGTGGTCTAGCTTCAATTGACTCATGATTTCAATTATGAAAATAATTATTAGTATTGAAAACTAAATAGAATTGGCTAATTGTTTAATATTTATATAAGATTATGTTATATCCCGAAGAGAATTATGAATGCTAACTATTGAGGACTGTTTGTGAACCAGTATGATACGTATATTCCCTATTGTATAATTGTTAAGTAACTAAACTATTCATATTCGTCTTCTTATTGTAAGCTTTATTTTGGTCTACTTATATCTATATAAGTAGTATATGGTGTGGTTTAGACATAGAATGTATTTTGGCAGAAGACCGATGACGAAAGAACTGAAATGAAGCGCAATCGTTTGGAAAATGCATGAGCAATAGAATAAGAGAAGAAACAGTGAAGATTGAAACAATTGGTTGTTAATTTGCAAATTGACTGTTCATTGTTTGGTAATCAGAATTTATTGAGATAGTCTGTGATGTTTACTTAAATACATTCGATTGTCCCCAACTAGTGTTCTGTTCACTACATATAGACTATTATTATACGATTTACCATCCCTAGTTCATTAATTACTGTTCCCCCTATTCACAGCCACATTTGACCAAATCTTGTACAAATGTTATTTTCTATTTTATGGTAGGATGTGGTCAGTTTGTTTGGTATATAAACTCAGTATGTTTGAGAATAATGATTCATATTGCAGAGGCTGTTATTGTTGTTCTAGACTTAACTGACTGGGTTAGGCAGAAAGCAGGACTGATAAGTACTCAAGACTGCTCATACGGCTTTTGTGTATAATTGCTCTGATTGATAATTCATTCCTCTCTGTTAGGCGGGAATCATCAGGCATATTAAACAAAGCACGCACGCACTCATACGATATAACAGATTGTATGTTCAACTGTTTACAATGAAATAAAGTCTTTTAACTATTTCGTTAGTCGGAAATGTTTGTTTTAAAACTTCCTACTGTTTAATTGTCATCAACTTTTGATAAGTAGGTTTTTATGAGAATGGGGATTTGTGGAGATTGTAGTAGTTTTAATGGTTGGATTTATGAGTCGATCTAAATTAGACCACTATTGGAAACCTGGGTTCGAGTCCCGTATTCAGCTTATATTGACTCCTTAATTCAACTATTAAGATAGGTTTTTGTTTAGTTATATTTTACGAATGTTTAAGTTAATATCAGGTAATAGTATTAATTGTTCAATTTACAAAGTTGTGGAATTAATGAAACTTACTCCATTTAGTTATGTTAGTAGTTATGAATTCTTTACGTTCTAGTGAGATGTTGTAGTTCTAGTAGTTTACAATCATGTGAATGAGACTGTTATTATTGATGTTCTTGGCGCTATATCTTGAATCAATTAAAGTTGAACATATGAACTATTTGATCTTAAATCAATGGTCTAAGTGTAACAAGGGAGTTGAAGATTCTAAGTTCGAATATAGATCAGTCTATGTTAATTTATTCTACGAAAAGTTTTCAACCAAACTATGACCATCAATCTTATTTGTGTGTTTTGATAATACTGAGTTGGAAATACGATAATTTAGTTAATTGAACCTCATTATCTCATCACCTACTCTAGGGTTATAAAATATTGCCACCTAGTGTGAAATATTTAATTGACAGTAGTTGACTACAAGTTACATCTACTGGTTTACTAAACTGGCATATTTTCATATGTGAAATCAAAACTGAAAACAAAATGGAAGATTAGCTGCTCATCAAATGTGGTTAAGTTGAAATTGCTGATAGATATGTAGATTTCTCAATATTCACTCACAAAATGACGTGATTTATATTACTCAACTATTGTGTAGAATACGTATGATTTAAAATCTGAAGTTCACATTTTCTTCGGAATCTATGGTGCGTTCATGTATTATAATGGCCAACCTAAAATGTCTCAAACACGGCAAAGTTAGATAGTTGGGGCTTGTTGAGCAAAATGTACTAAAAAAGGTGATTGAAATATAGATATTGACATTACGTCGTCTCTCATCGTAACATCTATAGAAAAAACCCAACTAAACTAATCGAGAGCAACCAGATTCACATAGGTACGTTTTCCGATTGAGGTGTGGTAGCTGAACACTTGAACTGCTTCGCATACAATCCATCAGGGATTCTGAAGTATGGGTAAACTACATAACCGTTCTCTCTTTTGATTTATTACTGTGAACCATACAGTTTGTTGTTAAAACAAATCAGTAAGTTGTACATACTTAACCAGAAAATACCTTCGGATTCTTTCTGGGGCACTAGGTCATTTTTCTGGCATCACTCGTATGCACCGTCGATTACGAAAGGGATATAAACCAAAAGCGTTTGTATTTAATTGTATATAGATGCTAATATCCACAAAATATCTATACCCTTTAGTTTTCTTTATCGACTAGTCAATTACAACCGAACCATCTTCTGGAACCAATAGTTAAATTGCTTGGTACATAAAGAGGAATTTATTGTAATCAGTGGGTTGAACACACTGTCGTTTAAAAGAATAAGATAGTGTAGAAAAATCATTGGAATGATAAATTTGAAATTGAAATGTTGCAATGTCTTGTTCTTCAAGTCTTCTTTACTAGAAAGCAAAGTCAATGTATTACTTTTTTTCCCGATAAAATCAGAGAAAAAATTAGTATTTTTCTTGGGGATAAACTGGGGGGGGGTAGGTTTGGGTAGAATAACTTCATCTTACCGTTTCTTTCTGATTTTATTATTTGAGCGGATAGTGAAAACGGGTCGAGGAAAACGTTCTTGTTAGTTGACCTTTAATGTAGAGTATGTGGATGATTTCGTTTTTGTCTTACAATCACAAACCTAAATCACTTGTGATCAGTTAACAATTAGCTCAAGTGGACGTCGTATGCACTTTTCACTGCGAAAATTGTACTTAAATTTATTCTTCTAGGTAAATTTCTAAAGATAGTAGAAATGTTCGTGTATCTGGTCAGATTAATTAGCACTGGTGCAGGCTATTTTATTTATTTAATTCACATAAAATATTTTACAACTGGGTACCAAAAATAATATGCGTCACACAAGAATATTTGTGTGTGGGTTAGAATATTGCTTGGGCTTCCGAACCGAAGGAGGTGATTTTCTTAATGAGCCACTTCCCTAGGCTTTGACCTGCAGGTCTAATCCTCAGGGTAATCGAGCAACGTTAGGTGTCATCCCATGGTGGCCAGTGACCAGAAATAGGTTCATTCATCATCTATCTTCTTAGGATCCTGGGACCAATATTTACTTTTGGTTTAAAATCAAGGTTTCTTGACTTCTCTAGGTGGTTTTTTGTGTGTCCATCAACCCGGCTTAGGCACCGTAGGTTCTCTTTTCATCCTGTCAATTCCATCAGGAGTAAACCCACCACTAGGTGTTGAACAGCATTTTCTTGTCAAGAGCTATAAACGCGTAGACTGATGGGAGGATTTCTATATATATATAACTCTTTATACTCTCTGTTTGGCTGCCGTCTAACTTTCTTCCGACTCACACTACCTGTTGAGAGAGGTTGTGATGATTCAAAACCCCAACCAATTAGCCATCTTTGCCATGTTACTCACTTACTTACGCCTGTTACTCCTCGTGGAAGAACATAGACCACCCACTAGCATTCTCCATCGAATTATGTCATGGGCAATCCTCTCCAGTTGTTTCCAAGTGCTGTTCATCCTTTTCATGTCTGGTTTGTTCTCTCCGAGAATAGGCTGTTGCTGATGGTATCAGGCGAATCGATATTGAGTATCTTTTGTAGACAATTGTTTGGAAATACTTGTACTCTCTTGATGTTGGTTGTCGTAGTTTTCCAAGTTTCAGCTCCGTACAGTAGAACTGTCTTGACGTTCGTATTGAGGATTCTGACCTTGATATTGGTATACAGACACTTGTTTTGAGTTCCATATGTTCTTCAACTGTAGGAATGCTACTCTTGATTTGTCAATCCTTGCCTTCCTCATTGTTCGTCAATAATGCTGACCAGGTATGTCAAGGTTCCCATCTCTTCTAGAGTTTATCCATAAAGTGTTATTGGATTGGTATTTTACGTGTTGCATTTGATGATCTCAGTTTTTTCCTTTTGTACTTTGAGGCCTACTAATGCACAGGTTGCTGCGACACTGTATATCCTGACCTGCATTATTTGATGCGTGGATTAGAACATCTAGGTCATCTAAGAAGTCCAAATCGTCTAGTTGCATCCAACCTGTCCATTGTATTCCATACTTCCTCTCAAATTTCGAGGTCTTCATAATCCAGTCCACCACTAGGAGAAAGAAAAAACGGGGGGGGAGAAGAGAGTAAACGACCTTATTTGACTCAGGTCGTCACTTGGAATGAGTCTGTCAGTTTTCCACCATGG